CACACACACACACACACACACACACACACACACACACACACACCCTCTTCACAAACACACACCATCTGCAGCCCTATACGACAAGAGGCAAGAAAAATAAATGAAATATTCTGTCTCCAGCTTTTAGCTGCTCGATCAGGAAAGGGTTAACAAACATTTCTGCACAACTTGAGCTCGGACCTCGTGATCACATGATCATAATCATTGCAGACAGGGTCTCTCATGTGACCCACCAGCCCCACTCCGAACAATGGCGATGTCACAAACGGCGGTCTGAACACCGACTCGGCACTGGAAGCACCGGGCTGATAACATCCCACCGACCCGCTGTTTAATCAGTCATCGATACCAAACCGTATGGCCACACACAAACTGGCACGGTCGATAAGCAGCAGAGTTATAAACGTAACCTTTGACCGACCTCGCCACACAAGCAGAGGGACGCACGCAACACAAACACACATCATAAATGGTGCACGGTGCACATAAAACCCCATCTGTCCCGTCCAACTGGTCCAACAGGAAATGGTCTTCTCTCTATACTCATGTCCTGCTCAGAGGCTGGGGACAACTTTTAACTTTTTATTTTAACTCCTCTTCATCTCTGCCTTTTCATAAAATCACATTTTAACCAGGATGCCTTTCAACATTAACATAAGATATGAGTTCAACAAAGGTTTCTTTTTTCTTAAATCCATAACAACAAATGGTTTTTAAACCTAAGTTTATTTGCGTTATTAGGCACTTGTTTTATTGTGGCCTTTATTGAAGGTTAGGCTGCAGTATAATTTACTTATATTTATATATAAAGTTATACTCACAGGGAGACCTGAATCATTTTATGAAAAGCTTATTTATGATGATCAGATACATAATCATTTTACCAGATACTCTAGTGAAACAGCGTTGTAAAGTAAATAAGTACAAATACTTAGTTACTGTACTTAAGTAGAATTTTTGTGTATCTGTACTTTACTTGAGTAATTATTTGTCAGCCTACTTTTTACTTCTACTTCTCACATTTTCACACACAATAATCTGTACTTTCTACTAATTCAATTCAATTCAAATTCAAAAATACTTTATTGATCCCAGAGGGAAATTAGGTAAACATTTTACTTACATTTTTTAAAAAGGCAAGAAGTAAAAAGTCATTTTTATTTCATTTTTGCTTGTTTTCATTCCAGCTTGTTATTGAAAAAAATAAATACTATCCATATAAACTGTGGCTGCTAGATAGAGTGAATTTAATTGTGGTTGAATYAGAAGTATAAATATAAAACTCTGATAGTGTATTAGTTTGTACACAAACAAATCACGTCACACTCCAGCAGGACATAATCATTCAAATAAAAGGACTGTACTTAAGAAGTATTTGTATTTCATGAATTATATTATTACATTTGGCCGCAGCCCTCAGATAGATTTTCATTTTGGAGAAAAGTTTTGMGCAGCCTTGATATACGTATGTATATAAACTGAAACAGCTGGACTAGTGCATCCTAACTTTAATATAAATTAATTATTTTTATATGATAGTCATTTCTGCATTTTTTGAGGAGGTCACCTCCTAATAAATGTCATTACATAAAATCTAACTGCTCATTTTAAATCAATACTTTTACTTAAGTACAAAAATATCAGACACTTTAAGACTTTTACTCAAGTAATATTCCTAAAGGAGACTAACTTTTACCAAAGTAATTTTTTGTTAAGATACTTGTCCTCAAGTATCACTTTGTGGTACTTTATACAACACTGGAAACAAAATGAACTGTAAATTGTMTTAAGACAAACTTGTTACTGTTGTCTATATAGAGCAATTCAGGAATGGAATAAATTCAGTGTTATATAAAGTACCACAAAGTGATACTTAAGTAAAAGTACAAGTATCTTACCAAAAAATTTCCCTTTGGGATCAATAAAGTATTATCAATCAATCAATCAATCAATTAAATTCACTCTTATCTAGGAGGCACAGTTTATATGCAGTGTTTCCCCTACCATTATACAGGCGGGGAGTTCTTTGAATATATTATGTGCAATATATTCATAATTATTTAAAGTATGTTTATGTACAAAATGACTGAAGAAATATTCTGCACGTTTTGCTCTATAAAACTGCAGGTTTGACATCCATGTATCTGTTAAATATCAGACGCTTTTTATTTTGAGCATGTAGGATACGCCTATATCTTGTGGGGATATTTATATATTTTGCTGTAGTGCTTGTTAGCAGCACGGTCTTACTGTACGCTGCTGTGCGCTCAAGTTTGAAGTATTCATTGAAGTGTAACTATAGAAACCGTGAAGGCAGCAGCAGAGCTCTGGTTATGAAATCTATTCTCCTGACAGCAGCAGAAAGCCTCACAGGACCAGAGAGAGACACGTATTCAGAAAAAAAAAGAGTTTTTCAAATCAAGGCCAGAGAAAGCAGGCGAGTTTTTCACCACTGCTGTCTGCCTGGGAGGTGAACTTCAGCTGTTCAAGTCGAGGAAGCTTTTATTGGGCTCCATGTCTGCGTAAAATAAATATAACAGGAGTTCAGTGGTTTCTAGTCTGGATTGTTAGTAAAATAACTTCAGCTGTTTGCATGTTGAACAGTAAAAATGATAAGAAACAAGCGTTTTATGACTCAATGCTTAAATCAAACAGATAATAATGTGTTTGCACGTGTCTCTATTCGCATGTTTGTTAGCAAAATATCTAATTGAGCTAAAATTCGGTGCYGTAGTAGCTCAGAGCCAGCCTCAACACACTCCAAAAGCTGAAACGTCTCATGAGATTTTGTTCAAGCAAAACATCAACAAGGTTTTCCTCCACCTGTGAGAACCGGAGCCAAACTCAAACATGGCTACAAAAGAATTAGAAAAGTTCGAAACACTTTATTCATGCATTCATACAGATAACTCTTATCTAAATCTGCAAGTTACAATTATCCATTTTCCCCTCATTTCTCCTCTCGACTCTAAATCATTTCGTGCGTCTCTGCGGTCCTGCTTCTGTCCCAGAACCCCGCAGCACGGCTAACTCTCATTTGGCTAAGGAGCAGGAAAATAACAAACAAAGCCTGAGGTTGAACTTAATTACTTTTGTATTACTGAATAGCTTAACAAGGTGCCAGGATTGAATTGGCTTCCTCGTGGAGGAGGTGGGAGTCTAATCAAAGCCCAGGTTTCCTCTCACTGCAGCCAAAACCACCGTGAAAAAAAAACTAACAGAGACACTGAGATCATACCAACAAAAGTAAATAAATCAAATGTTTGAAATTCAAACTGAACTAAACTTCTTACTCCAAAGGGAAGTACTGTCAGCCAGCAGTTAAATGTTAAATGTTAACACTCTGAAATGTGCAGCAACGGTCAAATCKTCAGGGGCCCACTGTGACTGAAGCAGCTTTGAACTGTGCAGTCAGACTCGGCGTGAGGTTGAGCCAACACTGCAGAGAACCACCAACCAACCTGGGTTTGTTGGTTCCAACAGTCMGCAGTGAGAGAAGACGTCGTGGAACACAGAAAGGAACATCTAGACCAGGTTTTACTGCAGGAGATCAGAAACTAAACAGACTTGTGTTACACTGTAACATAGAGCCTGTTGGACTCTATTCATTTATACTTTACTGATTAATAAGACAGTTTTTAGCTATTTCAAACTGCAGCCAACTGAATGTCCTTTGAGAAACTTTCTTGTGATCTGAGTTTTCAGTACATAACTAGAAAAACTGCATTTTCTGRGAGAAGAATGCAGAGCGCTAAATGACTGCTGAAGGAGCTGAAAGTTGTTAAAGGTTAAAGAAGCACAACACTAGCTAAAAGCTAAGAGTAGCAAAGCAGTCACCAATAGCTAAAAATGGAAAAACGCCAACTAAAAGATAAATCTAACATAGGCTATCTACATAATAAAGTAGCAAAACGCTAAACGAAGCTTAAAATTGTGAAACACTAGCAAAAACTTAAGTAGCAAAAGGCTAGGTAAAGCTTAATATGATGAAACTAGCTCAAAGTTCAAAGCAGCAAAACAGTCACTAATAACTAAAAATGAAAAATGTCTAGAAAAATATAAATGTAACATAGGCTAGCTAAATAAAAAGTACCAAAAAGCTAAGTAATGCCTAAAATAGTGAAACACAAGGAAAAAGCTAAAAGTAGCTAAAAATGGCAAAAGGCTAACTAAAACATAAATGTGCACATAGGCTAGCTAAATAATAAAAGTAGTAAAAGACTAAGTAAAACTTTAACACTAATGAAAAGCTAAAAGTAGCAAAAGGCTAAGTTTAAAATAGCGAAACACTAGCAAAAAATGCTAAAAGTAGCTAAAAATGGCAAAAGGCTAACTAAAACATAAATGTAACATAGGATAGCTAAATAATAAAGTAGTAAAAGTCTAAGTAAAGCTTAAAAAACTTAAACATTAATGAATAGCTAAGTTGCAAAAGGCTAGGTAAAGCTTAAAATAGCAAAACACTAGCAAAAAGCTAAAAGTAGCTAAAAATGGCAAAAGGCTAACTAAAACATAAATGTGCACATAGGCTAGCTAAATAATAAAAGTAGTAAAAGACTAAGTAAAACTTTAACACTAATGAAAAGCTAAAAGTAGCAAAAGGCTAAGTTTAAAATAGCGAAACACTAGCAAAAAATGCTAAAAGTAGCTAAAAATGGCAAAAGGCTAACTAAAACATAAATGTAACATAGGATAGCTAAATAATAAAGTAGAAAAAGGCTAAGTAAAGCTTTAACAACACTAATGAAAAGCTAAAAGTAGCAAAAGGCTAAGTTTAAAATAGCGAAACACTAGCAAAAAAGCTAAAAGTAGCTAAAAATGGCAAAAGGCTAACTAAAACATAAATGTAACATAGGATAGCTAAATAATAAAGTAGTAAAAGACTAAATAAAGCTTAAAAAACTTAAACACTAATGAAAAGCTAAAAGTAGCAAAAGGCTAAGTTTAAAATAGCGAAACACTAGCAAAAAAGCTAAAAGTAGCTAAAAATGGCAAAAGGCTAACTAAAACATAAATGCAACATAGGCTTGCCAAATAATAAAGTAGCAAAAGGCTAAGTAAAGCCTAAATTGTGAAACATTAGCGAAAAACTAAAATAGGCTAGAAAAAAGCTCYCAAGCAAAAGGCTTGCAAAAAGTATCAAAATGATAGCTAAAAGCAGCAAAAGGTTAGATAAAAGTTAAAAGTAGAAGAAAGCTAGCTTGCTGCACAAGTTTAGCTGAAAACTAAAAGCAAAATGCTGAATCATCATTTAGACCATTAGATATATTTATACACTATTAATTACGTTTAAAGGTAAAATAAATGAAACACTTAAGAGAGAACTGGATGATTTTTCATTCTATGCAGTCATTTTGGTCAAAGTTATCTAGAAAATGCTCCTAAATCAGCAGCCTTCAGTTGACTCTGGCCTCTTCAAGAGGGTAAGATGTTTCCTCCGGTGTTGTGCTGCCAGAAGGAGAAACCAGAAGCCACCTTCTCCTCGTGTTTGAGGTGGAAAACTGTCCAGAGAAACCCAGAAAGAAATCTGAGAGCTGTGGTCGGGTTGGACGTTCACCACTTTGCCATGAAATGCACCGTAAGCTGTGGGGCCTCTGGAAATGTTGTCAGGAGACAAAACACACATGCTCACACAGACGCACACACACACACTGGTGTGTAGGCAAATACAGCAAGGCTGCCAGAATCTGCTGGAGAACACTAACCAGCTCATTTGCTTACAGCTGACYAAGCAGGTCTTTAAAATTTGCTCGCTTTCCCGTCGACCCAGAGCCACTGAAGCTGAGCTGTGCTGTCCTCAACAAGACGCCAACACAACCGATAACAACAGATGTTAGGCTAAAGCTAATAAATATACACGCAGGAACTATTAATGCGACACAGTTTGATAAAATGGTATAAATTAAATTATGCATATGCTTTAACTGACATTTCCTTGTAAACAGAATCTTTGGTGCATCTTTTCGTGAGAAAAAACACTGAAACTTGAACATTTTCGATGTGAAAACAGATCCTTTTCTCATTTCTGCTGCTCAGGACTTCAAACAGYAATTAACAGACCAAACCCCGACACAAAGACCTCTGAGCGTCTTAGAAACAAGTCTTCTCCTCGTGTTCTTACTAGTGAAGCTTAACGACGAGGATATTTGCTCTTCACTTTACAGTAACGTGGTTTTGTAAGAGCCACTATAGAACTGACTAAAGGCAGCAGAGATCATTAAGAATAGATTTTTCCAGCAGACTGGGATCATTTTGATGAGGAATCTAATAATGGAAGAGAAAATTATAGACTGCCATTGATTTTATGACACATTTTGTCAGATTTCTCTAAAATCAATGAAAATCCCTCCCTGTTTGTGCATGTTTACCCAGTAACATGACTGAATGGGAATGGCTGAAACTTTTATCATAAAGCAGGGACGGGCAACTGGTGGCCCGTGGGCCACATACGGCCAGACTAATATATATACAGTATGTATATATATATATATATATATATATATATATATACACACACACAGTGTATATATATATACACAGTATACATATATACACAGTTTTGTTTCAAGATTAAACTCCAATTTACAAGTTTGCCTTTAAAACCTGTTGTTTATGGTGAAGAGAAAAATTAAACTGAAATTGTATTTTGAAACACAGGTGAACCATTTTTATTATTTAAGAGCAAATCGAATTGAATCGTGATTAATTGATGCAGGACCTTATGAACTGAAATCGWATCGATTTAGGGAATTTGCCACGATACCCAGCCCTATTAGAGACGCTGTCTGCCAGGAAGGATTTTAATATACGTCGTCACTACAACACGTTGCACAAAGCTAAATATGAGAAATTTACTGAATTTGCAAGAACATAATTTTAACTTGAACCAGCAGGAGTCCAAGTCTTAAGCCACCGCACTTCAGCTCACTAAAGTACGTGTTTATTTTTGTTTGCTTCAAAAGTTTTGTATTTATTAACTGTTATACATGCATTTGAGCATAAAATATGTTATATATATTGGTTTAATAAACGTATAAATAAACATTTTTAAAATGGTAGATTTATCACATTTGGGTAAGTGTGCAGAACTATGTGGCCCTCTGTGCCCCCAAGTTGCTTATCCCCGCCCGGATCCCTGCCCTGTCCCAGATCTGGACCTCGGTACGCACCGTGATGCTCCAGTTAATCTGGGGGACRTTGATGTGGAGATTGAGGCCGAAGAAGAGGAGGAGGACTCCCGTCACCACGAAGGCACTGCAGCTGACGAACTCGAAGAAGTAGACCCCTCCACAGGGGGAGCACATCATGATGGTCTCGATGCAGATGAAACTGATGAGCGACAGGACCTGAAGGGAGAGGGGGGTGGAGCAGGAAGGGAAGGTCAGGTTTGAAAAGTAGGACATGCCAGGAGCTCTGTGTGGAATAATGTTTGCCACAAACAAGTTAGAGAATCAACTGATTTATACAAAACTAGGTCATCAGGAGCAATTAGCATAAATTACATAACGACGAAGCCAATTATTCTAATGTTCTTCTAAATGACTCAGACAGAATGTTTTATTTCTGATGTGAGACGTTTTAGTTTTACAGATGGTATTTTTGACGATATGTGACGATAATAATAAAGATATTCTGTTTGTGGGTCTTAGAGTTCAATGTTTATGTTGCCACAAAAGAAGCCTGTTGTGGCTCAGATTAAATCATTTGACGACCATACACGCAGGCTTTCTGCYCATTTATTCCAACGCGTTTCTGCATTCTTGGTAAATCTTGCTACCACAGTTTTTTGGCGTTGTCGGCAGGAACAAGGACAAGATTTGATACAAGGTCATTGGAAAACACAAAGATAAACAAGTAATATCTAAGAATGACTGTTGTTAGCAAGTCTTGTTCTGACTTTAATCATTCTATCTGCAGATGAACAGCATGTCATGAAAAGCTAGGTCATTAAAAGGTTGTCATGAATTACTTGCTTAAACATAAAAGTATCAGTTTTATTACAAAGCCCAACATTCAAACTGCTCTAAAGTGCATGAAGCCATTTCTAACTGAATGTGCCTTCCATTCCAAACATTACAGATCAGGAAGCCTGTCCTTGACTTCAGCCACCATCCATCTTTAGAGCAAACTATGACAAGAATCTTGCTTTTTTTTCTTCTTCCATCTAGATCTAAAACAACCATATAAAGATTACAATCTGACTTGGACAAATCCTCATTAAAGATATTTATGGAAATTTCACTGAAATGTTTTTGCTTTATTCTAAAAACAGATGAGCAGAAGTGACTTATTTTCATTACAGGTTTCTTTTAAACATTTACACGTTGAGCTGATGATGAACGTATCTACAGTAAACTAAAGAACCAACCCTTTCCTGTTTGACTCCAGCCAATACCTCAAGGGAATCYCAGAGAAGTAAGCTTCGAGTCAGATTGTTCTGATTCCGGAGAGATAAACAGCAGGAGCTCACAGAGACCTTTGTGTTTGGAAAAGCTTTTTAAATTGGACAAATTCTGTAACGGCATGCACCATATTCAACAGCAGACCGCTCAAAATGAAACAACTGAAAAAGTTAAAGAGTAACTTACCCCAAAATTAACTTTTTTTAGCTGATAAACTGTCTAGAATGTGTCTAAAATGTTATATAGTACTGTTTCTGTGCT